AAGGGGAACCCTAGCTCGAACGAACAGAGGTAGTCCAGAAAATCGTACAACCCTAGATTTTCTTCCCAATTTTCTTGCTCGTGAAGAATAACTTGTCTGCACTCTCGGAAGAAGTCTGGTCCGTTGCAGCAGGAGACCTTTCACTCTCACTATAACGTAAAACCCTAAATAACTTTCCCGCCTCTTTTCTCCTCCATTTTTGGAACTTCAACTTTACTTCATCGCAAGAATAACTTATCTTATTCTTCAAAATTTATCTGCTGGAAGAACTTCTGTCTTGCTCATGAAGAATAAGAATAACTTATGTCTTGTAAATTTCTTAGCAAGGTTCTCTATGGACAAACAGAGAACAGAACTTCTTTTTTGGTCGAACAGGAAGAGGAATTCGTGCGCGGGAGAAAGCGCGCAGGAGAAAGAAAATTTTTCCTCCATAAGTTTCTCCACGTCGGTCCATTATAAGATTAACCCGGTTTAATTCCGGTTCACGAAAAATCCGCCGAATGTACATTAAAACCGCCGCGCCAGATTTTAAAACGAATGTAGGCGGCGGTCTTTGAAAACCCGCCGCCTTAGATGTCCCTATAGCGGCGATCTCAAAGACGGCCGGCTGTGACCGTTTTTTCTTGTAGTGAGTGAGAGAGAGAGAGAGAACTACCCATTTGGTTGCTATGGTCATGTTCTACAATAGAATCCTTCTCTCTCCATCTTCAATCAACATTAGCCACTACACCTTTTGAGACTAAGATGAAATTTACATTAGGTTTTGATTAATATCCATAAGCATAGGTTCTCTAGGGCTATCATTTACATCTAGAACAAAGTTTGACCCTAAAAGCAACAGAAAGTAGCATGTTGCCAAGGAGTGAAATTATCAAGATAGCTGATCCTTTTATGATGACAAAAAAAAAGATAACTTTCAGAAAATAAAATATAGTGAATGTATAGATTAATCGTATAAGAAGAGTTTTCTTTTCTTGCATTTCTTAACTTCGTATTTTGGCAGGTTTTGCTTAATTCTAGTAAAAATTCCATACAAAAATAGAAAATTAAATAAGAAATGCAATTGTGTGAAAGAGCTCCCATGTGCCTGCAATCAAACCAAACAAAAACAAAACAAACTCTTAAAATCAAAACTTCAAGGATGGATAACTTTTCTTACTTACTGACCAAAAGCCCTAAATGCTATATATTTCCCAACAATATCAGCAATTGAACCAAACAATACCACCACCAAGAATTGCAAATATAAGTTAAACAATTCAAAATATTAATAAAATACTAAAATATGTTCCAAATGAAAAAAAAAATAAAGTGAGAAAATGAAAAGAGGAAAAATATGATATGTTCCAATTTTCTTGAACTCGCAATTTGAAAGATGACCTTTCAGTTTTTTTGTACTTCCTACCATGCATGCTTTGCGTTATTTCAAACCCTCTTCATAACAATGGTCTTCATTGGATCTGAACCACCCCAGGAAGAAAGAAAATAAACAAAATCACAAAAATGACTATAATCATAACTCAAAATACTTGAATCCGGCAAAAATTAGTTTGCATGGAACTCTAAAAATCAATGTACAAAGGGATAAATAAACGGGAGTTTTGTTAAAGGCAGCCGAGTAGGGAAACGGTTCTCTAGTCTGTCTAGCGGAGCAAAAGTTTTTAGGGCTTAAGCACTCAGAAGATTAAAACTGTACCTAAAACCAACTCTAAGCGAAGCAAAAGTTGAGATCATTCGCCTAAACGCCAAGTTTTATTACTCCCCAACCAAATAAGAGAACCGATCTATTTCCTCTCTAAAGCAAGAGACTTGAATATATCCATCTTCAAAAAAACCAATAAATCCGATATCCAACCTATCCATCTCCGAACTGAAAAAGGATTCCATATTCCATCCTCTAAACCCCACATACGGATTCCCTATTCATCATATTCCAAAGATGCGATCAAACACAGTAAATTCACCAATAATTCAATATGGGTTTCTCGAAAAACGCATGGGCTGGATAAAAATGTCGAATGACCAAAAGTGAATGGAAAGAACTTACCAATGGAACCTGAATCCGAACACCTCTTTCCACGTTCAAAGATGCCTGAGAGGCCTCCATCTCAGAATAACAACTTCATCTATAAAATTAGTTCTTGAAAATTGTTGGCCAAATCCAAAACTAGAAATGGGGAGAAGAGAATCTTAAAGAAAGCCATAATGAGCTACTCAAGCTTTAGTCGGATGAATTCACCACAAATTAGAAAGTTTGTTTTTATGTCTGCAAATGGAAATAACAAGCTGAATCCAAGAATCCAAAGATTTCTAAAAAATTTTAGTAGAGAATCAAAGAACAGGGAATGGATTCAAAGTTAACCAACAACCAAAGAGGGAGATCAGAAGTAAATACCTCTATAAAAGACTGCGGCGGTGGTGTTGCTTTGGTAGTAGGAGCCGTCCATGACATTAGCAACACGGTGGTGGGTTACTTTGGTGTTGGCAGCATGAATCGTGGAGTCGTGGACAATGCACGGTTGTGGTTTGAGAAGAGAGAAGAAGGCCGAGAGGTTGCGACTTGAGGACCGAACCTCTGAAACTGAAGCGTTTCTATTTTCCTTGTATATCATACCCCAGATTTCCTACTAACTCTCTACCTGCATCCTATCCACAGTACACTGTAGCCGCACATCTCACGATACAAGATTGTGATGTGTGGCTGCAATTCAAGACGGGTAGAGTGCGGGGTAGAGAGTAGTGGGGGGCGGGAAATCCGATTTGTATCAAGAGGGATAGGCGGGAAGATTGTTTTAACAATAAAAGTTTTTTATTAATTAATCTTATATATTTTATTAATGTAACCATTTTTTAAATAGAGTTGATATTAAGTTATGCTTAAATTTGATTTTAAATTTTAATTTTATTAGTTATAAGGTTCTATTGTGAAAGTAAATTTTATTAAATAATTATAAGTGGCATTCTAAATTTAAAGTTTATTTAATTGTATTAATTAATACTTAACAATTTTATTAATTAATTTAATCTGATATAAAATGGATTTTAATTTTTATCAATTAATATATATTTTAAAATTAAATGATATTTTAAATTTTATTTTTATTATTTATACATTTTTCTTAAATATATACATAAATTAAAATTGTGTTAAAAATATAAATTTTTAATTGGAAATTGTGATATATTTATAATTTTATTAATGTTTAAAGTTTTTAAGAAACATAAAAATTACTATTATTAATTAGTTATAATATTATTATATTTTATTGTATCAATTTAAAATTTAAATATTTTAGTAATCAATTTAAAATTTTCTTAATTTAATTATTTGTGTTGAATTTTATTTTTTTATTAATCAATTTTAATTATTTAATTATATTTCTTAATTTTTAATTATTTAATATTTTTAGTAGTGATTTAATAAAAAATATATAACCATAACTCTTCTAGGGTATTCATTCTTTGATTTTGTTAAAAATGAGAACCTAACCAAACTGATACTAATAGGAAATGATGTCATAGCCAATTCGATTTGGTTTGGTTTTAGGTAGACAATTTGGAAACACTAATATTAATATTTATAACAATAACATATTAATATGAATATTTATAATAATGTATATCAATATTTATAAAATTATAATATTAGGATGTATAACAATATATAATAATATATTAATATCCAAACCAAATAAATTGCTTATTCATTATATTTAGTGGCTGAATTTGAATGCCCTTAACTTTCTTTGCTTGTGACAATGTCCTTTTTGACTAGATCTGGTTAGAGTTGAGAGTTGTTGATTCTCTAGTTATATATTCAACTAATGTCTTCATTAGACTTGTTCACGAGTCGGGCTTTGCCTTTATATTAATAGAATATGCGTTGGTCCGAGCCCGAGCCCGACCCTCATATAAAGCTCGAAGCCTAGGCCTGAGCCCAAGCAAGTCAGAAAGTTGGAAAATATATTTTTTTCTTTTCTTATTAAATTAAAAACTATTTTATTTATATTAAAAGTCCTCAAAACCTAAAAAAATAATGAAAAATCTCATTATTACTTGAAAAAATAGAAGAATAATAAAGAAAAAATATTATATATTTATTAAATAAAAATATTTTTATTATATAAATACATTATTAAGCCAGGCTCAGGCCAGGCTTTTTTGAGAAAGCCCGAGCCCGGCTCAAAAAAGGTTGGACCCAATGTTTTAGGCCCGAGTTCGAACTTGCGGGCTTGAAATCCTGTCCAAGCCCAACTTAGATCGGGTCGGGGCAGGTCGGCCCGTTGGGGCTACCCGGCCCATGAACTCTAGTCTTCATACCTTGAATTTGCAAGTAAAGATTATTAGATTATGGTAGTCAATGATCCTCAATCTTTAGATGGAGTGGTTGGGATCAATGTTTTCAAAATTAACCTAGAGACCTAATCATTGTTGCCTTTAAATTGTTGTCACAAGTTCGATGATTCAAGTCGAATGGGTCAGACCATGCCACATCATATAAGTATACACACACATGGTTTAACGAGAGTCCGACTAGTCAGTCTAACTATATATTTCGAAATATATAGAACATATATAGGTCTAATTTATATTTTATTTAGTTTTTCATCTTTCATAAATAAAAAAGCTAAAAATTATAATTTGAGGCAAAATTTTTCTTTTTTGGTAAAATGGGTAGCCAAGGTGTCTTTGGCCCAAGGAGCACATAGAATTATTAATTAATTAAGTATTACTTTATTTATTTAATAGATAATTATTAATTAATTAAGAAAAATAATATCTTTTATATATATTTGATAACTATCACTTTATTAATGATTTATTAATGAAATTAAGTAATATAGTTTAATTGACAATATTATTTTTCATCAAACTATTGTTAATTAATTAATTATATTGGTTATTCATATTTGATTTATTATTGTTACTTATTATTAATTTACTTAAATAATAAAGGTGTTCTCATTTTTTTTCATTTCTTCGAGGGAGAGAGACTCGAAGAGGTGTTCTCATTTTTTCTTTTTTCATTTTTTCATTTATTCACACGTGTAGAACTAACTAAAGTGCTTCTAAGCACATGAGAGTGTTCATCTACTCGCATGAGTAGATTTCAAAACTTGAAAGAATAGGCTATGATTCTATATGCATTTCCTTTTAATATAATATAATAATATAGAAAATAACTATTTATTAATGTTAATAAATTAGCTAGTTGTTTAACTAGATAATTAAACAATAAAATATTAATAATTAATAATTAAATATACAATAATAGAAAATTTGTTTATTAAAATAATATTTAATTAATTAATATATTGAATCATGATTATGCAGGGATGTCAATTTCCCCATCCCTATCAGTTACCCAGCATTAGGTCGAGATAGGGATTACTTTGGTAGGGTAGGGATGGAGATGGGAATTCCTTTGATAGGGTAAGGACGGGATAGGGATTAATAGGGATCCTCGACTAGGGTCAAGGTTGGGTGGGGAATGAAGTCCCCGCCCTGGCCTAGCCTCAATTATATATATATATATTATTTCAAATATTATTTATATCCTAAAATTTTCTTTTATTTTAAGTATATTAAATTTTCAAAAAAATAGTGTTAATTAAAAAAATCCTGAGATTCAAGTCCTTGCGAGGAACCCATCTCTGTCAATGATCAAAGATGGAGGACAACTTTTATCCCCAATGGGAATCGGAGCTAAGGATAGGGATTTATTTCAAAATTAGGGTCAAGGATAGGGAATATGGTCCCTGCCCCAAACCTACCTCATTTCCATTCCTATGATTAGGGGTGCAAGCTAGGTTGGGGTAGTAGGGGTGGAAACAAATCGATCTTTCACAAGCTATTCAAGCTCAGCTTGTGAGAAGTTCAAATTGACTTGGTCTAAATCGAGCTTCATGCCAAGTTCAAGCCCAATATATAGGCATGTTTGCTAGTTAAGCGGAGCTCGAGCGTAATAAAGCTCAACTCATGAGGCTCACAAGCCTAATCGAGCTTATACATACATACATACATACATACATACATATATTAATAAATAATTTTTTATTATTTTTATGTATTGTAATAAATATTATATATATATATATATATGACAATAAGTGATTTTTATAATTCTTAAATATTTATATGTATAATAAAAAATAACTTTTATATGTATGATTTTTATTTTTTATAGGAAGCTTGCCTCACATTTGAGCTCAAGTCAAGCTGAGCTTGAACATATGAGCTTTTATGTTGAGCCAAATTTTAGCTCAAATCTCTACTTCGAATCGAGCTTGAGCTTGATGGTTTTTTGGTGAGCCATGATCAAATAGCTAGATATTCGACTTAGCTTGGCTGAAATCGCCCTTATTGGGTAGCCTTAGATTAGGAAGGGTTGAGGTCAACTTAACCCAAATGAAGTTATGGAACCCTCAATCATAAATCTAATGCAACCTAAAAGCTTGGAGTTAGGGTTGGGTTCAAACTTTCAATATAACTATATATATAGTTATGGTATACTATAGTTGTGAATTTAGAAAAAATGCATATTTTTCTATAATTTTGATTATAAAAATAGTAAGCATTTTATATTTTCTTTTTCATATAATTTATTATTTCATTGGCTTGTTAGTTCGAATGGCAAGCCCTAGACATATTATTAAGCATAATGTATGGGCCAGTCAAGCCTCTACAACATTAAAAGTCATTAATGGTCTATAAAAACTTGACCTAAGAGTATCCCTATACGTAGAACTTAAATGAAATTTTACTAAAACTTTTTTTAAATATCTAAAATTTTAACTTATTGACTATTGTTCGGATATATTAATTAAGCAATTCAAATGTCCTATTCATTATATTATTTTAAACATAATAACATTTAAACAATGGTTATGAGAAAATGACACTACAAAAAATGTCCCAAAATGAAGATGATTTTAATTTGTGAAAAAAATTAATTGTCCATTATTAAATATAAAGATTTTGTAACAAATACCTAATTACCAATCACTATAAATAAAGATTTTGTGGCCGACATTAAACTATTCATCACTATAAATCAACTTTTATGATTTTTGTGATAGATATTTAATTGTCTATCACTACAATTCACCATTTAGTGACAATGACTCAATTGTCCGTCACTATAATTCAACATTTAGTGATGATGATTAAGTCATTCGTCACTATAAGTTAATCAATTGCGATGGATGACAATTGTCCATCACTAAATATCAAGATTTTATGCTTTAGTGACGAACATTCAATTGTCTGTCACTAAAATTCACAATTTAGTGACGACGATTTAATCGTCTGTCACTATAATACAAAATTTTGTGACAGTGATTAAGTTATCTATCACTATAAGTCAATCAGTTGTGACGGATGACAATTGTCTGCCACTATATATCAAGATCTTATGTTTTTTTGTGACAAACATTCAATTATTCGTCACTATAAATCACAATTTGGTGACGGAACTTCAACCATCTGTTGTTATAATATCTTTATAGTGACGGAAAATCTCTTCTTCACTAAATAGTGTATTTTTAGTGACAAAACTTTAGATTTGCCACTATAGAGTTATTTATAGTGACGGAAATCATGTCCATTTGTCACTAAAACGCATTTTTCTTGTAGTGAAATAAG